TAATGATTTCTTTTTGTTTGAACTAGATACATGTTATATGGTATTATACAATAGTAGGGGAGGGAGAGGACTTGACTAACCCAATATCTCTTTTTTCCATATTACCACTAAATTATTGTTCAAGGAGAGTGGGGGCGGTCGAGTAGCCAGGTGGTCAAAGCGTTCGCTCGTCACGCCGAAGACCCGGGTTCGATTCCCGACATGGGTACAATGTGTGAAGCCCATTTCTGGTGTCCCCCGCCGTGATATTGCTGGAATATTGCTAAAAGCGGCGTAAAACCACACTCACTCACTCAAGGAGAGTGAGTTTTTATACCATAGGTGGTTTGTGAGCAGGACCTGTAATACACGAATATACAACATACGCCATGTCAACATTAAGGTGTGTCTTAAAAAGCATTTACCTTTCTCTGTCCACCAGATGGTGATACATGTAAACATGCTTCATGTCACAACGGGGCGGTCGGGTAGCCTAGTTGTTTTAAGCCTTCGCTCGTCACGCCGAAGACCCGAGTTCGATTCCCGACATGGAATATTGCTAAAAGCGGCGTAAAACCATACTCGCTCACTCATGTCACAGCAGTCTCAGACTCAGAGTGATAGAAAGCTCATGACAAACTTAATGCCAATTTGTCAGGTGTTTGTCCACCAATATCTCAGGTCTGTTGACCTTAGAAATGTTTTGGTGTTTTTTTCAAAATAAGTCATATTAACAAGAACAACTTTATTACAATAATATTCACATACATATCATGAACATAATACATGGGAGAATGTTGTGCAATGCCACAGTCAGCAATATTCCAACCCCATCAAAGAACCTGCAAATAATCAAATCTACAACAGCCAAATCAGTGACTGATATTAGGAGCAACATCCTACCTGTCAGGTACGATGACACACGTCAGCCAAGTTACTGAATCTGACCACCTGATCAGTCACCTCTTACCACAAGTAACAGTGTTGGGGACCAACTGGGGATGCTGGATACCAACTGGGGATGCTGGCGACCAACTTGGGATGCTGGGGACCAGATGGGAGATGCTGGGGATCAACTGAGGATGCTGGATACCAACTGGGGATGCTGGGGACCAACTGGGGATGCTGGCAACCGACTTGGGATGCTGGCGACCAACTGGGGATGCTGGGGACCAACTGGGGATGCTGGGGACCGACTGGGGATGCTGGGGACCAGATGGGAGATGCTGGGGACCAACTGGGGATGCTGGATACCAACTGGGTATGCTTGGGACCAACTGGGGATGCTGGCGACCAACTGGGGATGCTGGGGACCAACTGGGGATGCTGGCGACCGACTGGGGATGCTGGGGACAAACTAGAGATGGCGAGGACCAACTTGAGATGCTGGAGACCAACTGGGGATGGCGAGGATCAACTTGGGATGCTGGAGACAAACTGGAGATGGCGTGGTTTTAAGGACCAACCGGGGATGCTGGTGACCAACTCAGGATACTGGGGACCAACCGGGGATACTGGGAAATCAGAAAGCTAAGGAATATAATCAGGGCTGATTTTTAATTGGAAAACACAAGCAGATTCTGGCAAGCAGAGTTAATTGTGTACCTTAGACCACCAACATTCTACATGTGCCGCTCAAGAAAGGTGTGATTATGTATTTGTTAGGAGACTGATGCAAGATCAGTCGTTATGGTAATAAGATTTGATCATCATCTATTATCCAGGGAATTAGATCTCCATTCTATTACTTAAATACCCTGGACCCATTGACCACCAAAGCTTTGTTTTGGAAATGGTGTCACAATCTCTCCTCTCTAGAACACAGACTTAATCTCACTCATGACAGTCATTTGATTGGCAAGCTATTTTGGGCTTCATGTTGTACAAATCACGCTCTAAACTAATATATGAAGGCCAATCAGTCCAGAGTATTAATAATACTTGTCGTTTGTTGTTGCTTAACGCCACAAAATTCCAGCTACATGATTTGCATCTGTAAAGAATCAAGTCTGGACCAGACAATCCACTGATTGACACCATGAGCATCGACCGAACCATTTGGGATACGATGACATGCATAAATCAAGTCAGCATGTCTGACCACCCAAGGGACCTTTTATGACAAGCACGGGTTGCTGAATACCAATTCTAACCAGGGTCTTCACAGGGTTATTAATACTGTTTGTTCGTTTGTTATTCACTAACAGAATGAAGATGTAATACACTGAATAATGGATCACGATATCGGATACTATGAAACACATCTACCTAATTAGTTACACATGATACATGGATATAGGTTTCGGGTACAAAACATAAATGCTGATTTTTAAAACCATTGTCATACGTGATATTACAACAATATGATTTTTTTGTTTGTTGTTAAACGCTGGGCTCAGCAATATTCGAACTATATGACGGCAGTCTGTAAATAATCGAGTCTGGACCAGACAATCCAGTGATTGATATCATGAGCATCGATCCACGAATTGGGATACTATGACATGCTTCAACCAAGTCAGCGAGCCTGACCACCCGATCCTGTTAGTCGCCTCTTACGACAAGCATATTCGCCTTTTACAGCAAGCATGGGTTCTATTCTACCCTGGATCATAATGCAGTTACAACATTATGAATTAAATGAATTCACTTTCGGAAACAAAAATATTCACATTTCTGCAAAATGAGTGATGTATAGTGTGTCACTGACAGATCACTTTTCTTGTTTTATGTTAAAAATACAAAATTTTGGCATACGTAACTGAAAAAATGTATCTTTGTTATATTAATAACAACCTTTAAACCTTTTGTGTGTGCTTTTCTTAAAAAAAAATCTTTCAAATTTCTTTCTGAAGAAAATGAAATTTTACATATATTTTTATTGCTTTCTTAAAATCATTTGTACCGAAAATGACAACAGATGAACCCTGTCAGGCTACCGAAACTCATGGAAATTCAATTTTATTGTAAAATGAGATATTGGTCATAAGTAGCATTTGTGTATTTATTTCTCGTTAAGTTTCAATGTATATGACTATTAAAATTGATAATAATAAATCATCGTTACATGGCAAGAAAACACATTGAATAACACTGTTTCATAAAACCATCCTCTGTATCGCCAGGGCTCTCATTTCGGAAAAACCTACACAACCCCTGCATCAATTCCTGTGGTTCTTGCAATCTCAAATTACCCGCCCTTGATTTCCATCAGCCAATTTGATTTGTCCCGCTACTCAGTCTAACGTACCAATCAGAACGCGAGTTACAAACCAGCATCAATGTTGTGTTGGTGATATCAACAACATGGCGGCCAATTCCGATTTTCTCGTGAAATTCAATGTTGAAAAAATGACTGACACGCAAAATAAAGGCTTACAAAATCTGTTTGATGGAAAGGATCAATGTCCATCAAAACTAGCAGTGACAAGTCCTCCCTTGCCCATTTTCTTTTCCCTTATCTCAACGTTTGATTGGCGGTTAAATGTTGATGAAAATCAAGGGTTGGTTGGTTTGTTGGTTTGTTGTTTAACGCCGCACTCAGCAATATTCCAGCTATATGACGGCGGTCTGTAAATAATCGAGTCTTGACCAGACAATCCAGTGATTGAAATCATGAGCATCGATCCACGCAATTGGGATACGATGACATGCATCAACCAAGTCAGCGAGCCTGACCACCTGATCCCATTAGTCGCCTTTTACGACAAGCATAGTCAACTTTTACGGCAAGCATGGGTTGCTGAAGACCTATTCTACCCCGGAATCTTCACGGATCCCAAGGGTTGGTAATTTGAGATGGAGAGAAACCACAGGAAAGGATCCAGGGGTCAGTGTAGGTTTACTGTAATGCAAGCCCTGGAGATAGAGAGGATGCCATGAAACATGATAATTGATACTATGAAATGAGGTGTGCGCTTATGACACCATATTTGGTTGACTTTGTACATAATAATAACCTTCATAAAATCATAATAATACAACTGATTCAAAACATCTTCACATGCACATTACTAAACTACATACTGGAATTACTCCCAGATGAAACATGACAAACTGCAATATATTTATACACAAACCTGATCCTCATAGTTCTCAAATGTATCATTTCTCCATTCTATTCTCATAAATACTCTGGACACATTCGCCAACAAAGCTTTGTTTCAGAAGTAATGGCAGCATCTCCATCTCGATCAACACTGATATTTTTAAGCACAGAATTTCTCTCGCTCATGAGGATTTAATCTATAACCAAGAAATATTTAAATAGTTTATTATTGAGTTATCACTGATCTACTTTCAAAACTACAGCCTCATACGAGCAAGCGCTCAACATAGTTGATGAATCTCAAAAGATTGTAAAAAACATGAATATTTAGCTGAAATTTGTTTTCTCCTAATCATCAACATTGGGCCCTTATACCATCAGGGGTTCCCAGTTCCAGATCGAGTACTGGCCAATCAGAGCTAGCTTCGGGAAATAAGAGAGAAGACAGACAGACAGACAGAATTATTTCGTATATGTGGCCATAAGGTTCATGAAATGATGGTGTAATTTGATTAGCTGGCTATTTTTAGCATTGTTTCATACAACAATTCAAAACGGAGGTATAATAGCGAATGGTTGCAGGTCATTTATCATCAAAGGATTGAAAAATAATACACTGGATGAACGAGGATGCTCAAAAGCAAGCATACTAATATATTTGCAAAGAGTTGTCAGTGCGTCTGCTAATAAGCAACATTGCTGTTTGAGTTAAATGTTGTTTCAAGATCTGTTGAAACAAATCATAAAATATATTACATGAGTGTATCTCCCCGGAATCTGTCACAAAATACAAGCACACTATAACAGTGAGTGAGTGAGTGAGTTTGGTTTAATGCCGCTTTTAACAGTATTCCAGTCATATCACGGCATGTCAGCTTAATGTGGGAGAAAAGACTGAAGTGATGCAGGTCTTAGACGTTTACCACTTCGGTGAAACCCACGAGCACGGGTATGGTACTGACAAACCTAGAAACATAATTGGGGTGAACCGGGATTCGAACCAACAATCATAAGTTTTCTGGCGTGCCCAAGGGACGCAACTCTGCACAGCGAATTGCGGTGCCTTAGACAACTTGGCCACCCGTGCCCCCCACACTATAACAACATGCTGTGCTGGTATGCAGGTCTTTGGTGTTTTAGGAAAAGGCTCTTACATTCTGAGGAACCTAAAGTTATGAAAAGCTGAAATATAATAAAACTGAAAGTATTGTTTCTGTCCACTGAATGCAACTTAAACGTAAAGGCCTCAAAACAACTGCTACATGAATACAGAGTCCAGGATATTTTCTTGTTTTATAGATGTTCCTAGTCAAAATGCCATGAGGCATGAGGCCAAATATAAACATATGTCCGCATGTAATTTAACTTCAAATTGACATGGGCAGATTTATAGATTAAATAGCTCTTCATTGAAATCCCAATAGGTACTTGCAAACTGAACCTCATCGAGGCTGTACTACGGCCTGCACATAAGGCCTTTAAGAGTCATTTCACATTTTCAAGACTTGATCCAACAGCCATTATGTACAGGATGGATCATGTCATGACAAACCCAGCAGGGTGTTTGAACATTGTGAATTTTGTTTTGTTTTGTTTGTTGTTTTATGCCACACTCAGCAGTATTCCAGCTGTACGACGTCAGCCTGTAAATAATAATAATTGAGCCAACCAGAAAATCCAGTGATTACAATTTGGAGCTATGATCTACACCACCGGTGTACTACGACGAAGTCTGACCATCTGTTCCCTTTGGTCCCCTGGGCCTTTTCCAAGTTTTCCTGATAAATATTAAACACATGCAATAAATACTGGATGTGATATTCATATCACCACCCCAAATGACATTTTTTCAATTTTAGGACTTGACATTTTCAAAAAAGTATTCATACTCAGTAAAAAGTCAGTGACTATCCAGCACATCTTGAGAACACATCCACGACTCTGTCTGGGGCATATTGATAAACAAACAAGTTTGAGGTAAGTCATCAACACAAATCCTTTCAAGCAAATACATGGATAACAGTTTTAGTTGGTCCCCATATTTATATGAATTTGAATTATGCAAATTCGAAATTACCTGATTTATGAATATTAAAACTATCTGAACACACCTTATTCTCAAGTATTGTTTGCTGAAAGAAAAATGAAAAACCAGAACTGCAATAATTCCTTGCCGAAAACATGAATCAAATAATAAATGATACTGGACTAAAAAAATAATTCAAAAAGAAAACAGTGTTATTACTATCCCCCGCCATGGGGCATATTAGAATTTTGTTTGTTCATATAGTAGAGAATATAAACTATAAAAAACAGCCTTAAGAAGAGATAGGCATTGGGCCGCTTTGTCATCAGAAAAAAAAAAGATTAAATGTGAAATTACTACACACAAAGTATCTCTTAAATAAGCTAATTTCAGTAGTTTCTGAGAAAACTCCCCATTGCAGACACTGTGCACCAAGTGAAATAACAAGGGCCGTAACTCCGTAAAAAAATAATTTACTGGGTCAATTTTCGAACTGAGTCTTGACAAGTATGTCTTAGGGAAGCATGCAAACTTTCATTCATGTAACTTCAGAAGTTTCGGAAAAATACTGTCCCCATTTCACAGAGTATGTATGCATCAAGTGGGAAAGCACAGAACAAGGGCCATAACTCTGTAAAACAACAATTGACTGGACCAGTTTTTTAACTCATTTGAGAACATGTCCAGTAACATCAGTGTGTAAAATTTCGTTCCTATGACCTAAACAGTTTTTCATAAGGTGATGGACGGACGGACAAACTCCGTTCCTATATCCCCCGCCCCACTTCATGGCAGAGCGATAATAACTGGCATAAGAGTAATTCTCCCAGAGAGCAACTGACTAGGCTGTTTCTCAATACTACCATAAATCCATTTACAAAATTTAATGTAAAAAAGAAAATGTCTCCAAATAGATATATTGTTTAAAGCTCATAAATGGGTATCCTTGAAATTTTGATTTCAAGGTTAAAAATACAGAGACTAACTGCCAAAACAACGCATAATTGCCTTCTGAATTAAAACACATCCATCATGATCTTCTGAAACAACATATCCCATGATTCCTTTCTGAAACAACATATCCCATGATTCCTTTCTGAAACAATGTATCCCATGATTCCTTTCTGAAACAATGTATCCCATGATTCCTTTCTGAAACAATGTATCCCATGATTCCTTTCTGAAACAACATATCCCATGATACCTTTCTGAAACAATGTATACCATGATTCCTTTCTGAAACAACATATCCCATGATTCCTTTCTGAAACAATGTATCCCATGATTCCTTTCTGAAACAATGTATCCCATGATTCCTTTCTGAAACAACATATCCCATGATTCCTTTCTGAAACAATGTATCCCATGATTCCTTTCTGAATCAATGTATCCCATGATTCCTTTCTGAAACAACATATCCCATGATACCTTTCTGAAACAATGTATACCATGATTCCTTTCTGAAACAACATATCCCATGATTCCTTTCTGAAACAATGTATCCAATGATTCCTTTCTGAAACAACATATCCCACGATTCCCTTCTAAAACAACGTATCCCATGGTTCTCTAGGGCACACTGTTCACAGACACTCCCAACAAGACGTTAGCCACACTACACAAAGAAGGTGGGCTGGCTCCTACTGGCCTGGTGTGGCAACAGACAAAATGTACATGAAGCACCTTTCCTTTCAACCTATGACAACAGTATCTTTTAAAGCAACTTTCAATGTTGTTGGCACTTCAAGCTGACATATTTGGTCTCGTGGAACAAACTTGCGAACCACCTGCATGCACCTCTCTTTAAGGGAGTACACTGAAAAATAACATAAACATCTCAGTTATAAAAACAGAAAAGTCAGTACACCATTAATCACAAATATTGATGCAAATTTGAAAGTACATAATGAATAATAATATTTGTTTTGCTTGTTTGTTGTTAAACGCTGCTCTCAGGAATATTCCTGCTATATGACGGCAATAAATAATTGAGTCTGGACCAGACAATCCAGTGATTGACACCATGAACATCGATCTACGAAATATTGATACTATAGTAATATGATTTGTTTGTTTATTTGATTGTTGTTTAACGCTGCACTCAGCAATATTCCAGCTATATGGCCGCGATTTGTAAATAATCGAGTCTGGACAAGACAATCCAGTGATTGACATCAAGAGCATCAATCTACGCAATTGGGAAACAATGTCATGTATTAACTAAGTCAGCGAGCCTGGCCACCAGATGCTGTTAGTCGCCTCTTACGACAAGCATGGATGCTTTTTACGGCAAGCATGGGTTCCTGAAAACCTATTCTATTTGAATAATAATAACCACAGCAAAACTAACCTATGTAATCATGAATGATAAGGGAGATAATTGGAGTGTGATTTTCCCAAACGGAATAACATAATTACCTCCCTTAGTTAATAACTCTGCTTTGTAGCTCACCTGACTTTGTAATGTTTTCAAAAAAAGAGGGCCATAAAAAAGGGTGTGAGAGAGAGAGAGAGAGAGATATGCTATGCTGGGTAATAAGTACTGTCTTTTGGTATGATGCGGCTAAAGGAGGATTGAACCACTCCATTAATTGTGAAACATCTGGTGCCAAAATGATGGTTGATGGACTGTAGATCATGGAGGTTGTCTTTAACCTTGAGAGGTTTATGTAAGGATATGGAAAAAAGTTCACTGCTAATTAAAAGGATGGATAAAGGATGAAAACCCATGTCATAAGCTCACTTTGATGATGCCAAGGTGGGCTAAAAACAAACCGATTCATTACTGAGTTAACATACAAAAAAGAGATACAGAAATATAAAACATTCCAAATGTTTTCCATCATCTTTTTTATCAAGTTGTAACAATAAATTGATAAATATAACAAAAATATAAGAATGAGTGAGTGAGTTGGGTTTAACGCCACTTTAACAGTATTCCAGTCATATCACGGCTTAATGTGGGAGGAAAGCCAGAAGTGATGCAGGTCTCAGACGTTTACCACTTCGCTGAAACCCACGAGCACGGGTTTGGTGCTGACAAACCTAGAAACATAATCGGGGCGAACCGGGATTCAAAACCACAATCATAGGTTTCTGGCATGCCCAAGGGACGCAAGTCTGCACAGCGAATCGCGGCGCCTTAGACGACTGGGCCACCCGTGCCCCCGATTCCTTATTGAGTTAACATACAAAATAGATATACAGAAATATAAAACATTCTAAATGTTTTCCATCATCTTTTTTATCAAGTTGTAAGTTGTAGTTTTTGTAACAAATGTGTTGGACTTTTACACGTACCTGGAATGGAAATATGTACGACCTTTCTACATGGCGGCCATCCATCATGCTGTGTCCAGCCAACTGGTTCATATATCTCCTTCAGCTGCACGACCAGGCGATCTCCGGACTCGGAGTCGCGGAAGACCCATGGATGTCCAACAAATGTGTTGACATCCACAAACTGCTGAGGCGGCAATGTCCGATATTTGATTCGAGCACCTTCATAGTTGAGCCAGATAATGTCCACTCTTCGCCGTGTGTTATTTACAAACCTCACAAATGAATGTGCAGTTGATTTTCCAGATTTTGGACGGCCATTCCCTGCGGCGTTTCCTTCGTTGCCAGTCATCGTAATACAGAATAGTCTGCAACAAGTACATCATGTTTTGAGCAATCATTGCAGTTCATTAGGAGACAAACTCGCTGAGTTGAATTCGTAACCCAACTCCCTCCAGCGTGATGATTACATTTAGAGTGGATAAATCTACAGGTAACCTAGCTCCAAATTGATAACATTATCTTTCTACCATCATAAAATTAAACGCAAACTCCTTGGTTTAAGCAAAGATATTCTAAAAAGTGATCTCTACATTATGTAACATATAATTGTACATATCATTTCAAAATACCAACAGACAATGATTGAGAGAGAGTGAGTGAGTGAGTTGTGTTTAACGCCGCTTTTAACAGTATTCCTGTTATATCACAGCGTGTCAGCTTAATGTGGGAGGAAAGCCTGAAGTGAACCACTTTTGTGAATCCCACAAGCACGGGTATGGTGCTGAAAAACCTAGAAACATAATCAGCGCGAATGGGGATTTGACCCACAATCATAGGTTTCTAGCTTGCCCAAGGGACGCAACTCAGCAAAGCAAATTGACGACTGGGCCACCCATGCCCCAAATTGAGAAAGAAGTAAATATTAGCTTTTTTGCTTACAGCCCTGTTCAATAATAGTTGCATTATGGGACCATTAAGGGGGGATAATTCGCTAAGGGAGGCAACAACCCTTATTGAACAGAGCTATGTGGCTTCATCAAGGTCAGTATGGCTCTTACTCAAGTTCCGATAATAACACGTTTCTGATAAAGCCATCTTATGGAAAAGTCTTTAACACGTAACATCCTTCCTTTCATTAAGTAATATGTACGTGAAACACATATATGATATTGCTGTTTTTCAAGTCAAGTTGACCTACATGTCAGTCATGATTCATTACAGCAAACTACCATCATTAGTGACCCGTGAAGATTCCGGGGTAGAATAGATCTTCAGCAACCCATACTTGCCGTAAAAGGCGACTATGCTTGTCGTAAGAGGCGACTAACGGGATCGGGTGGTCAGGCTCGCCAACTTGGTTGATGCATGTCATCGATCCCAATTGCATGGATCGATGCTCATGCTGTCAATCACTGGATTGTCTGGTCCAGACTTGATTATTTACAGACCGCCGTCATATAGCTGGAATATTGCTGAGTGCGGCGTTAAACAACAAACAAACAAACAAAACCATCATTAGTGATGTGAGGATGGTTTTAAGCAGCTTTTATTCCAGCAATATCACGGAGGGGAACACAGGAAATTTGTACATTGTACCCATTGAACCCCAGCATTCACCATGACAAGCAAACACTTTAACCACAAGGACATTATCATCTATCACTTGCTTCAAATACAATAATTTTATCAACTTCGACAAAATACTTGCAGCGGATGATTTTGTTTAGTAATTGGTCAACTAGAGAGACCATGCTGATTGATATGACATATATTTGAAACCCAAAGTTTACTGTGAAAAAAAGCTCTTAATTTACTTGATAATGACAGAATTTCTGAAAGGATTATTTTTTACTTTTTCAAGCTCTAAAGCACATAATTACTCCATGTTCTTACACATAAATCTACAATTAAACTTCTTAGAGTGATCTTCCTTTGTGAGTACTCAAATCCTCAATAATAGCTTCGAGTCTTTCTGAAAACAACTCGGCTCTTGAGTACTTCTTGAAGCCCTACTTAATTTTTACCAGTGAATAAAAGTCATTGGGTCCTGTAGACTGTCCACTGTTGTCAGGGAAACCACAAGAAGCTAAACATGCCGAGACTGGCTATATTATCTTTTTTGAGCGATCAATATGACACAATCAAAATTTGTTGTAGGAAAACAGATACTTTTCAAAACATTTACATTTCACACCATAATGTACAATGAATCAGAGCAGTACTGTTGCTCTGGACAGTTGCGGTCACACCTGGGGAGGCAGAATATACAAACATGCACAAGTAAGCCTCAAAATAATAATAGTCTTGGTTCTGAGGCACGGCCAGCATCATCATAAAGTTTTTATTTCTATTTTGAAAAAACAACAACCCAAAAATCCTTTAATATTCCAAAACCAACTTAGTCAAATACTGTATTCCAGTATTTTACTCATCAAGGAATACATGTATGTAGGGAGGCCCCTTGCCAGGTTGATTGTACACATTGTTTATTTGGTTACACAACTGTTTATTTGGTTTCATACCAGTATGAACAACCAATAAATAAAAAAGAGACTCCGCCCGCCCACACTATATTTTCAAAAACCATTGCCTGAGAACCAATTCTTTTATTTTTTTTAAGCCTAATTCTGTGAAATTTATTAATGAATCTTTTTAATGAATTTTATCAGTGATTCAGAGTCCCAGCCTTGTGAAAGTTCCATACTGGTAAAGTGAAACAGTGTCATCTGAGAATTTCAAGTTTGACATGTCAAACAAAGGGACCCTTCATTTATTATTAGGGGGGTGGGGTTCATACGGAATCAGGGGAGGGTCACCAAAAATATGACAATCTCCATGGGATGGTCATAAAAAAAAAAATACACATCTTTGGGGAGGGTCATGTATACAGGGCATTTTATAACATAATATACAGTACTTTTTACATTTTGTATTTCCGGGGAGGGTCATGGAAAACATGGACAAGGACATGGAGAGGGAAATACAAACATATGACAAGCATTAGGGGAGGGTAAGTTTTTTCAGTACATTAGTGCATTAGAAACCCCTCTGTCCCCTACCACCCCCTGTAATAAATAACCGCTCCCGAAGTTGAAAGCCTGGTTTGCTGCGTCCAAAAATGACAGGGAAAGGGAAAAACTTCCGCCCGGACCCCGCCTCAAAAGTTATATACGAATGCATTACCGCTCAATCCTTACAATCATATATATTTTTGAGTGGGGATATGGACGGAAGTCTTACCATTTATTTTAGGGAGGTGTTTCTTATTGCTACAATATCAATTTGCTTCTTGACGAGTTGAGAATTATTTTTTAAGCAAGACGGATTATATAGCCGAGGCGGGTGTAAATTTTGAAACACTGATATAGTATGCTCAAACATGATGACAATTCACCCAAATATGTAAACATAAATATTACGTTTGCAACAATGAAATAGCTACATTCCTGGTGATAAATGTCTTACTGTGGACATACGACAAACCGAATCAAGATTTCATCTGTCAACTCAAGATTCGGCGGCCATGTTGATTTAGTTAGCATACTATATTCCCCAAAACAAATGACGACCACCTGGATCGCGACCGGTCGGATCCCGAATTAATAACAGACATACTGTAGGTCTGTCGGCTATCACGTCGTCAGTATTTCGTTCTTATTTTGTCAGCTGCGATTGTTAAAAACAAAGCAGAAAGAAAACTATACCATTTTATCAAAATTGACATAATGACGGTACGTTAGTTTTACACCACAATAAGAATGGACTGCACCCATTATACCCATTTTGGAAATCGAACTCGGGTTTTCAATGTGACGAGCCATAACGCTTTCTCCGAAAGCTAGGCTATCTACCTTAGATCGACCCTTTACTAATTAAAACGAATGCGCCTGCAAGATAAAATGTACCAGCATTGTCGTGTTGTCCGGAATTTATTTGAAAGTACTTCCGGTTCACTTCCTGGTTCACTTTCACGTAATGACTTTGCTATTTTATCGAGGCTAAAATGCTGTCGAGCAGGATCTGTTGTGTAACGAAAGTTCTTAACCGGATTTCTCAGGTCACGCCGGTATTATACCCAATATTTTGCACGTACCTACAGCAAATTCATTCCGTAGGTGGATATACTACTTGTCACGGAGCAAGTTTTATATCCCGTCAAACCGAAGCGTCAGGTGTTAGGATGGAGTCCGACTGTTCAGGCCTACCAGCGGACAAGACGATACACGCGGCACATATAGATGAAATTCACAACGTTCCCATCAACATACTTATCAGGCCAATCCCTTCCATTTTGGACGAGATGAAAGTTTTGTCGCTGATGGAGACTATTAAGGTTGGTTATTGTACGTAGAACTTTACACTAATGGTGAGGTGAGGTGAAATGGGGTTAACGTCACGTTCAAAATCATTCGCACATATATATCGAAGTGCACGCACGTGTGTGTGGCTGATTTTACAAATCGGGACTTATAAATGATGGTTATTTTGTGCTAGCCCACTGAGATTTTATGCCACAGTTTTAACATGGATGCCCCACTCAGTCAGTATATTCACTCGGAGCAGACCAGTCCTTGTTTTAGACCCTGAATGCCGAACGCCAATGGGTAACAAGTACCATCTTTTAACGCCTTTTTGTATGACGCGGCCGGGGATCGAACCACTGACCTTCCGCTCCCAGGGAAGACGTTCTGTACACTAGACTACCGACGCGTTCAATTATAACAATGGTGCACGCCAGAAACCTATGATTGTGGGTTCAAATCCCGGTTTGCCCCGATTATGTTTCTAGGTTTGCCAGCACCATACCCGTGCTCGTGGGTTTCACCGAAGTAGTAAACGTCTGACACTTCGAGCTTTCCTCCCACATTAAGCTGACACGCCGTGATATAACTGTAATACTGTTAAAAGCGGCGATAAACACAATTCACTGAATGAACTAATGGTAACGCAAGGGACTTATGTGGTTTGAGCTAAACGGCAACGCAATTATCTCAGTAAAACGGCACCATGTTTATAATTAGATTGGGCCGATTACATTTTTCGAATCGGGGTCGAAACGAAGTTATCTAAGCAAATGGGTCGATGGTATTTATCCTGACAGGGTTGAAATATATAACTCTATATAAGATAGCTACGCGATAAATCGCAAAGAACAATGAAGAACGAAGTATGGTTTATTTCGCTCGATACTTGATGACGTCGTCTATTGGACGACGTTGTTTTTGAGAGGAGTTGTTACCCATAGATGTATAGGTGGGCATCACAGATAAACACGATGGCCAAACGATCGCATCCAAAAGTGGGACAGATATGACAATCGTCATTTGGAGAAAAGGTACTGGTAATCGACGTGATGATTGTGATAATATACTGAAAATACCCACCTGTGCATAAAATGGCCTTGTCCGACATTCCCGAGGTCAGTTTCTATCAGGGGAGTCATCATTATTAAAAAGCGGGTAAATATTTTGAAAGCTTGTACATTTTATCATCATCCTTTAAGAGGCTGTACATAATGTTGATATCTCATATAAGAAATAAACGACTCATGGTCGTTGTTTATCGTACAATAAAACACCACGGGGAGAATAATCCTATAATAAAAGGGTTTATTCTCCCTGCAGTGTTTTATTGAACGTGAAACAAATCCCACTCGTCCTTTATTTCTCAAGTAAAATCATGATAATCGAGAATGCTTTTATTCCATCTGTATTCAGAATCCCGACACCAGTGATGATGTTCCTCCGATTGACGTGTTATGGATCACGGGCCGACAAGGGGGAGACTACTTCTACTCATTTGGTGGTTGTCATAGATACGAAGCATTTAAAAGATTGAAGAAGGACACCATTCCATGCAAACTTTTCAAATCAACAGTCAGTGATCTGAAGACCTATCTTGGAAGTTCTACACCTGATTTGTTATAACTTGCCTTACGTACAATATACATGCACGTATAAAATGAAATTAAATCTACGCTTTATTTCATGTTTTAGTATGGTTGAGTGAGTGAGTGAGTGCGTGAGTTGGATTTAACGCCGCTTTTAACAGTATTCCAGTTATATCGCGGCGTTAGTAAGTGTAGTAACCATTTGAACATATATCATCATGTCTGCAGGATGTGGGAGGAAAGCCCACTGAGGGATGTGATCTTAGTTTTTCATCAAACCTAAAATTTATCAGGATGCATCGGGAATCGAACCAGCGACAAAGGTTTCTGGCACGCCACAGGGAAGCAACAAATGCGTCTTTGGGACTAGTTTAAAAAATCGATGTCGGATAAAAAACCGTAATTCATCAAGTTTTGAGACATACCCATACCCCTTAAAAAACTATTCTGAAAATGTAATCCTGAGATAACTGGCCTCTTTGTCACGCATTCTCGTGTTTTATACTGCTTTTTAAGAACGTTTATTTAGTAGGTGTTGAAAATCATTTGTAGTTGATTTTTTATAAACACACTATGTCATTTTAGAGAGTGGTCAAATGGCACAAATGTTATATTTGGGATAACACTTTCTCAATAAAGTACATATTCTTGTACATTTTTGGGTTGAATCCCACCCGGGATGCGAACCCTCACTACCAGACTACCTTACTCAGCAAGTGTTATCCCAATAATGACATTTGTTGGTTTTTCTATATATTCAACCTGTCATTCTATATTACATTACGCACTGCAGTAGAAGGGCTTACTACCAGTACCGGCTACACTCTAAACCCAAGTGTTCTACTTCTGAACACTAGACAGAACACTTGGATGTAACACTTTTAGAACGCGTCCATGTGTTCTGAAAATATTCTTAACACTAATGTTCTCGATCGAGAACACTACTGTTCTGCAAGCATATTTAGAACGGCTCCACGTGTTCTGGTGATGTAACACTTTTAGAACACTTGTAAAGTGTTCTAGGTCGGTATTCAGAACACTACTGTTCTACAAGGAATAAAGATTAAAACCATAGATACACCTCAAACTCTCTGATAATAAAACACAGACGAAATTCTGAACTGTTAAAATGAATTATTTATTATATTATTTTGTTATCTATGTGAGTTTCAAATTCATATTTCAATAGCACATGAGTTCTTCATAAACAGAACGTCTGCAGCAATCACTGATGTAAAGCATGGAATCCATACTTCGCCTGAAATGCTTATTTCTCACTTTCTTCCTGGCCCTCGCGGTGAGCAACTTCAGCTAGCTGAAATTTCAGGTCTTTCATAAAGTGTTTGTATTTGGCCGATGTTTCGCGTTTGTAAACCTCCTGGAGTACGATGGTTTGGAACACGGCCATAACCATCGCATATGCCTTTGGGAATTCCATGTCAAAGATGTAGTACATGGCGATCAATTTGATAACTGCCGCCAGCACACCGCCCTCCTTCTTCACCTCTGTGTATACCGTATCTCCAACCAAAAATATTCCTTGGACTTTGTCACCATCCATAAATATAACTATTCGGGGGGATTCCAACACTTTCGTCTTCAGGGCAGGCATGATGTCAGACTGTGCAACGTCCTAGAACACAAACCAATTTCTCATGATTTTTTTTCAAACTTGTTCATACTACCTAAGCCATTTCTCTAACAAAGTTTCAGGTGTGGACACAGTTGGCCTAGTCATCTAAAACAATGAATTTCGTCGTGCAACGTTGTGTCCCTTAGGCGTGCAAGAAACCTATGCTCGTGGGTTTGAATCTGCGTTTGCCGTGGTTATATTTCTAAGTTTTCAGCATCATATCCTTGCTAGTCGGTTTCAACAAGGTGGTAAACGTCTTAGCCCTGCATCACTTCGGGCTTTCCTCCAACATCAAGTTGACATGCTGTGAAAAACTGAAGTACCGTTTAAGGCAGCATTTAACCAAACCCTCTCACTCACTTTAACAAACAGTGTAGGTAAGCAAACAAAAGATTACCATGACAATCCCAAATGTTTCAATATTTACAGGCTGTTACACTCGAACAAAATGTTTTGTTTAAAAAGTCATTTGACTTCCAAAATTATCACCTAGAAACTTACCCAAAGGTCAAGAATAAAGTGAATATGTACCTTCTTTATTTGTACAATTGACCCCATGTTTCGTTTTCCTATCCCCCCTTGATGCCTCCGTGTGCTGCGTTCTATGAAGTTGATGACATTGATCATCTTCAATGCATCCTATAACAGAAACAAGAAAACATCTGTTTCTCTATAATATGCCACATGAAGAATGCCTAAAACATGTTCTGGGTAGGTGTAGGTTAAAACATGTTCTGGGTAGGTGTAGGTTAAAACATGTTCTGGATAGGTGTAGGTTAAAACATGTTCTGGGTAGGTGTAGGTTAAACCATGTTCTGGGTAGGTGTAGGTTAAAACATGTTTTGGGTAGGTGTAGGTTAAACCATGTTCTGGGTAGGTGTAGGTTAAAACATGTTCTGGGTAGGTGTAGGTTAAAACCTTCTCTGGGTAGGTGTAGGTTAAACCATGTTCTGGGTAGGTGTAGGTTAAAACATGTTCTGGGTAGGTGTAGGTTAAAACATGTTCTGGGTAGGTGTAGGTTAAACCATGTTCTGGGTAGGTGTAGGTTAAACCATGTTCTGGGTAGGTGCAGGTGAAAACATGTTCTGGGTAGGTGTAGGTTAAAACATGTTCTGGGTAGGTGTAGGGTAAACCATGTTCTGGATAGGTGTAGGTTAAACCATGTTCTGGGTAGATGTAGGTTAAATCATGTTCTGGGTAGGTGTAGGTTAAAACATGTTCTGGGTAGGTGTAGGTTAAAACATGTTCTGGGTAGGTGTAGGTTAAAACATGTTCTAGGTAGGTGTAGGTTAAAACATGTTCTGGGTAGGTGTAGGTTTAGTTCTACAAATGTTCATTACATACTTACACTAGTCTCCCCAGAGATGTGTTCAAAGCTGCTCATGCCTTCGCAAGCCAAAACAAGATTTTTTAGGTTTGTTGCAGCCAATTTTGCCCTTTCATTTCCGAACATAAGTCCGAATTCATACAGCACCTGAAATATAACATTGCATTTGCTATTTATTTGCAACCCAGGTTATGTGTAATACATGACATGTGTTACATCCTTGCTAATCATCCTCGAACTAAAGGATTTACAATGAGCATAGAAACATATATTTTTGATGAGTTGACAATAACACTAAGTACGGTATGATAGGAGAAAGGGTGTGAATATACAGATGTTTTTATTTATGTCTGATGTACCCACTATTCGTTTCTATATATGAAACGAGCACTTACATAAGATCCATCTCTGAAGCATGGATACTTGTCATACAAGGATGATATTGTGCCATTTGTCGCCTTACTCAGCATATCCACTCTGTCATGACGGGTCTCCTTTAGGAGTTTCCTGATATGGAGTTTATTGCGCTGTTTCGGGGTTTTTTCCCATTCCCTCTGCAGCTCTGACACATGACGTTCAGTGTCTTCATTTGAAATTTGGGTCGTTTCGGTGACAGCTTCATTGATTCTGAAACAATTCCTCTTAGCTGGTGGGGAAAGGGCTTGATCAGATGGATTTGTACACTGGCTCTTTACCTTGAGGTTGAATCTCATGTGACGGATTTTCTGAGAGAGGCTTTTTGTAAAAGCGGACTGAAATGAATATCGGTATATAAAGAGTGTTACATGTTTTATCTATGATGTCTCATTTGCATTAAACCATTATATAATGAAATACATTCGAGGAATACCTGTATTGACAGCAGTCCTCGCGATTTTTGGGCGTTGGGGTAGCCTAGTGGTTAAAGGGTTCACTCATAACACTGAAGGCCCGGGTTCGATTTTCCACATGGGTACAATGTGTGAAGCCTATTTCCGGTGTCCCCAGCCGTGATAATGCTGTAATGTTGCTAAAACCGGCGTAAAACCATAATTACCTACTCATTTACCTCATGTTTTTGGAGATTTTTTGTAAATGTGCTGAGGGCTCGAGAACCTGGGGAAGGTAACAAGCATACAAACAAGCATACAAACTTTTATATCGATTCTGTCCCAATGCTTTTTGAAACTCACCCAAGGATTTTCTCCATCAAGCCCAATGCTGGGATAGTTTGCATACATCGTGCTGCCAATTATGCGGTAATGTTGATGCTCATTCATATTAGGCCATTTAGTATAGTAGTGGTTGGCACACTCGGCGATCATGAGGTTCCAAACTCTCTCGGGTATGGCGTGTTGACCATCTAAGTGTCTGGCAACCATTGGACTGAATGTTGGCAAGGGAGACCTCATTAGTGCTTCGGTCACTGAGAATGCATCTGCAAAATAAATATAACATGAGAAAAGTAAACATAACATTTCTGGATAGGGATAATCACATTGGTATTCTGTATGATTGTAATAATATATGTCTATATAAATATCACCAACTTACTTAGAGAGGAAGCACTTGATGAAGGTGTAGAAAGTTGCATCGGGGTTGAGCTGTTTGACAAAGTGTTTATACAGGAATCTGCCCGTGGACTGACTGCAGGTGAAACAATCGTTGGTTGGTCAGTAGAGGAAGAACTTGAGTAACTCTCACTAGCTGGGGTCCATATTTCTTCAGGGAGGAGGAGGAGAAGAACTTTTTCCTGGAAAGCCTGGAGAATTTCATATTCGTCAATCTCAGTTCCATCTTCCTCGAGAACAACTGTCACCTTTTCGCTGCTGTTGAGATTCAGTTTACGAGACCCTGAAACACACATAAATAGTTGACCATCACCATTTGTCATTAAGACCACAACCACAGACACTTATTTCCACTTATTGTGTCAATGCAAACTGAGAGACCACATTACTAATACATTAATTTGAATAGTTAAATATATAAGAATAGAAAAAACAAGAGCCTGGTAATGGTATATTTGAGAATAAATGTCATCATAATGGTACATTGATTATTTATTATACTGAGTAGTACGTTTGAATACTCACCTTTGTCTAACAGGTCTTCAATCGAAGAGGCAATTACAGACACTTTTAGTGTCCGAGTCACATTCCACAGTTTATAAACTGACATGATGTCTTACCTAAATTACAAAATAATTATAATTCTATCAATACATGGGAAGAGTGGTCAAATGAAAATGATCATGCCGAATGCCCACACACTTTCTATGTCTGCCATGTTTGGAGTGAAGGGTATTGATGTTCAAGCTAATGAAGTGCAATTATTTATAGTCTATTGTCTGTGTTTTCTGAATTCAACAGTCCATTCAAAACAATGAACTAAGCCCATGCCGCTCAACGCAATATCTTTGCTAACACCAAAGATTTTGTGATTTATTTGTTAATCGTTTAATGCGCATTCGGTTCCAAATTCAATTTAGCGTGGTTAAATATACCAGTAACCAAGCTCTGAACTGAAAACACTATGTTAATCTCCACCTTCCTGCCCAAAACATTTCTAATGTACGAAACGGTAACTTGCTAAGGAGCCAGATCAATCAAACAATAACATAAACTCAACATGTAAAATCATTAATAGTTTATCCTTGGTAAGAAACAAATTGACCAACTGCACTCAGTGTATGAACGCACTGATGAACAAATACGACCTGTATAAAACGATCAATAACGAATAAACCAGCAATTTCATACATGAAGTCTGGAACAAGACATTTCAAACGGGATATCAAAATGGATAGGCATAGGTGTGACTATTCACGTTCATCACAACGCTCTTCCAATTGAATGTATATACACTCAGAGGCCATTTGAATTTCAATGTGGAATGAGGGACAATGTCTTTAGTACCTTCTTTCGAAAGTATGTAGGACATTATATGCATATCATATTCAGACACCATCTTTTCAAAAACGAAGAATTTTCTGTGATCAACAACGACAACTGATTCCAGCAAGCAAAATATCGGCATATCTGCCACATATTCCAAAACGAAGCCACATCCGCGCCTGTATTCCAAACCATGAATTGTTCCTGATTGGCAAGAGTATACCATATGAACATGGGAAACTAGAATGTTCTCTAAAACCTCCAGAAGATCAGGATATACTTCCCGGAAATCAATCACACATCCTGGTCCCAACTGATCACCTAGGTAAAGAAAATTGGGGGATCTCCCACATTCAGAACCACTTTGCATATAGGCCATGTGGATCTGGTGCCTATTAGCCAGAGACAACGGCAGGTTCTTGAAATTCTTATATCTCTTGTTGGCAAAGAAACCATTTTTGCCTTCATATCTCATACACCAGTGGTGACGGAGTGGACCGTAGGCCAGGAGCTGTGAGGGAAAATGTATCATGAAATGCATTTTTGGTATTATTGACGCTTCTGAATACAACGTTTGAAAGTTGTGCAAGTACTGAGCAATGAGAGTACGCAGATAGAACGCAGTATCTCGTGAACAATAGGATGCAGTGCAAAACAGAACAATTTGCAAAATACGAAGAGTATTCATCCAATATGCATCATTTCTGGGAATCTTGCATCCAATCAAAATCGGCAAAATATGTACCAGTGTGAGCATTCCTGCTGCTGTTTGTTTGATTCTCTTTTTGTCATTTATATGCTGCTTCTCAATTATTTCTGGTTTTGTTTTGCCATGAATATAAGAATACTGAAAAGAGGAAATGGCTGTGTTAAGCCACTTCAATCCGAAGTAGTGCTTTACATGTATGAACTGATGTAACACCAAAGACAATTCATATGGCACAACACCTTCTAACAAAACGTGCATTGGATCTTGAACAAGACCGGAAATACTGTTAAACCCAGTAATTTTGAGAAGACAGCTGGTGTTAGAGATTCCCCAAAGCTTACTCCAGTACTTCCTTGTGCTGGCACTACAATTCTCGAGTTCCTCACACCTTTGAAGATGAATCTGTTCACTTCTCATAACAACCTCTCTCTCAACAAATATAGATCCAACATGAGCATTTTCAATCTCACACCGCCTACATTTTTTTAGTGCAAAAGATACTCCCTCTTTAAATCCTCCTATCCAGTTTGACGCGAGTGTATCAGCACTAACACTAACAAGAGTTCCTTTTACTGAATGAATTCGGCCATGAAGACGCATGCTTATGCCATCACTTGACATTCGATTCAGGGTATGAACAAAGTCTGATAACAGTTTTTCCTGAGCTTGTCTCTTTCGTACATCTTTGGATTTACAAATAGCTAGGAGTTGTACTGCCTCTAGTTTAGACCTATATTGTGGTGGTATATTTAACAAAGTGAAGTAAAACACAGTTATTTTGTGCTTCCTGATATGACTGCCAAGTGGGTTAACAATTTCAAAATCATCACAGTTAATAGCGATTTGAAGGGCACTCGGGTTGCTACAGAAGAGGGGATGGTTTAGCATAACATCTCCATCACAAACATCATGCAAATACTCATCTCTTGACAGGTGTGTGTTCTGCACATAATTCCAAACCTCCGGTATTTGCAACAGGTTGTTAATACTCTTTTCAAAGGGAATTATATAGCCAAGAGCAGGCTTTTCTTGAATCGTACCATTTTTGGTTATAAAAGTTGTTCCCATCACAATTTCTTCCGGCTGTAAGTACGTTTCCAAGTTCTGTCTGTAAAATGTGTGGCGTTTCTTATGCGTTTCAAAGACATTCAAATGTGTTTCAGTTGCAATACCATCAACAAAGTCAGGGTTAATCCCTATGTCAGTCAGTTTCGATTTGATCTGCCTCTTAAAACCATTAATATGACTCTCCACCAAATCACTGACGGAGGACACAATGTTATCGATTCCTACTTGTGACAAATTATGTTTAGCCTCCAATGACAACGTGAAATAGGAATTAAAATTCACTGGGTCAACACTGACTGTAGCCCTAAGCTGATCACCCTCAATTCCACTCAGACTGTCACAATTTTCAGTTCGTATCTCATCATCAGATAGGGCGGTCGGGTAGCCTAGTGGTTAAAGCGTTCGCTCGTCACGCCGAAGACCCGGGTTCGATTCCCGACATGGGTACAATGTGTGAAGCCCATTTCTGGTGTCCCCCGCCGTGATATTGCTGGAATATTGCTAAAAGCGGCGTAAAACCAAACTCACTCCACCACTCATCATCAGATACATGATTTACAGATGTAATGGTTTCTTTATGTTTTCTGTGCATATGTACTTTGAAATTCCCCCACTTATTTGTTGTGTATGCACACGCACCAATACAGCAGGCTACATAGAATTTGGGGTCATGTTTGTGGCAACGAACATAATGGTGTCTGAAAGCTTCAAATGCTTTCGTGCTATACACACAGAGATTGCAGCAGAAATGTGATTCACTCATTTCGCTTTTTGTATGGACGTTTAAATCAAAAGACACACGAGAGATGAAAGGCCAACAGGAAATAAGAACAACACTGAATAGTGCCGCTACTACAGTGACGTCCATGTAACCTGCATGCCCTGTGACCATACTTACATTTCAAATGAACATGATTTGGGAAATTTGTCCTAATAGCCACAAGGGCAGATACAAACTTTTTATGGTAGCAAGGCTTTGATCGATTTCATGTCACAATTTACAAGTAAAATGACAGACATGCCGTTAAATGTGGCGACGTGTATGTCGTCTGCTGTGCTTTTTCAATTGGCTGTTATTACATTCTATGTGACCATCATGTGATTTTATCAACGAAAGATAAACCAGTGAAAGTTAAGGATAAACTATGAAACTAAATGTTCCCTAGATGGATTGTTATTACCACAGATACCGTTAGATATTGTACCCCGCCAAATGTTGACGTCACGCCAGTTTTCAAGCAGAACGGATGTTATTCACAAGGCATGGGCAGTGTTGAATGCTAGTTAGAAAAATAGAACACGCATGTTCTCACATATATAGCTCTTTATATATATAAACGCATGGGACGGATTGTCTCTGTTTCTCATGTTTACGCTTTGGTGTGCGTCAGTTATTGTCACATGTATAATCATCTTGAAAATCACGTTTAACGATGAACACCGTAACGGTAAGTTGCAACTTTACTGTGACCGTCTATCATAATAACTTTTGTGGTGAGAGTTACCACCCTTCGTTCAGACAATGCTCGAGCTCCTTCCCAGCGCGTGCCACCTTCGTCACCCTGCATGGGACCGCCTTGACAAAGAGAAAATGGAAATGTTTTCTTCGAATTGTACTGTAGCGGCGCTTCGGAGGTTTAACATGAGTAAGGCATTGCTATTTGAGCATAAAATAAAGACATTCTTGTGAAAATATGTCTATTTTCAAGGGAATGTAGGTCATTTCGGTATTTTATGTAAATGCCTCTTACAGAAAAATAGCAGTTAAATCACAGTTATCGTGCTTCTTATGGGTGAAAGAGCGAATGTTGATTTGATATATCTATTTCCGACTTTATTATGTTAAACACATGTGATATAAGGAAATACGTATTATTGAACACATCAGAACACGCGTTCTGTGAGAGAACACGTGTTCGGCAAATAGACCGCATATGTTCCATAGCACACAAAAACGATCCAGGTAGCATTAGCCAATAGAATACCAGTGTTCTGAAACATGTAAATATCCCGTAATGCAAGCAAGTTATTTTCATGTATCATCAATAAGATGTATTTAAATATTTTTTCCTGTCATATTTAGTCAGGCTACATATGAGTTATTATTTAAACAAGATAGAACAATTTATAAACTATTTGTTATTTATTTAAACCCAAATATCACATTTCTGATACCAATTTTCAATATCTTTTTTACAAATCAATCAGCCTGTCTTCATCTCACAATAGATATTATAAGAAACATATTTCTTTTGTCGCGTGAAATTTATTTTTCATTATTAATCACATGCATGCTCCTGTAATGTGGACTTTTGATCAGGAGAGAACACCCGCGTTCTACAACAGATCATAGACGTTCAGCAATAGAACACGCGCAGTCTGTAATAGAACACTCGAATTCTGTGGCAGAACATGTGGACGCGTCCACTGTTCTAAATTAGAACACATAGGTTTAGAGTGTACCCGTGAAGATCCGGGGTAGAATAGGTCTTCAGCGACTCATGCTTGCTGTTGGTTGGTTTGTTGTTTAACGCCGCACTCAGCAATTGTCCAGCTATATGACGGCGGTCTGTAAATAATCAAGTCTGGACCAGACAATCCAGTGATTGACAGCATGAGCATCGATCCATGCAATTGGGATCGATGACATGCATCAACCAAGTCGGCGAGCCTGACCACCCGATCCCTTTAGTCGCATCTTACGACAAGCATGGGTTGCTGAAGCATCGGTTGGTCTTTAACTTCTTTTCAGTACAATAGTATACATTCGTTAACATCCTCGGTTGTCATTCTTGTATCTCATAACAAACTGGAGACACAATACCCTTGATAATCGAGGATGATACCTTGTATGACTCCAACTAAGAAAGTGGGTAAAAGGGCCATGAAGAGTGCGTTAAGACGCCAATCGTATAAGCACATGAAGAATGAGCGAGTGATAAACGTCACATAACGGCGAGTTGTTCACAGAGTGAGTGAGCGAATATTCGTATTAGGCTTTGTCGTCATCAAAGAACCGTTCCCTGCCATGGCCTTGCTGATTCTGTACCCTACATGGTATGTCAGTGGACAAGCACTATAAAACCGGCATTAAGCCCAGATTAACTCAGCAAGTGTTATCCCAATAATGACATTTGTTGGTTTTTCTATATATCCAACCTGTCATTCTATATTACATTACGCACTGCAGTAGAAGGGCTTACTACCAGTACCGGCTACCCGTGAAGATCCGGGGTAGAATAGGTCTTCAGCCACTCATGCTTGCTGTTGGTTGGTTTGTTGTTTTACGCCGCACTCTACACGGTAGGTCAAAACTAAGCAAACACTCCTATCCTATTTTCATGAATATGATGTTAAAGAGTTGTCATTAAACGAAGAGCCCCGTGAAGGTCGCACACGGCAATATTCCAGCTATATGACGGCGGTCTGTAAATAATCGAGTCTGGATCAGACAATCCAGTGATTGACAGCATGAGCATCGATCCACGCAATTGGGATCGATGACATGTATCAACCAAGTCAGCGGGCCTGACCACCCAATCCCGTTGGTCGCCTTTTACGACAAGCATAGTCACCTTTTACGGCAAGCATGGGTTGCTGAAGACCTATTCTACCCCGGAATCTTCACGGGTCTCATGCTTGCTGTAAAAGGCGACCATGCTTGGTTGATGCATGTCATCTAACCCAATAGCGTTGATGGATGCTCATGATATAAATCACTGGAATGTCTGGTCCAGGCTCGATTATTTACAGACCGCCGTCATATAGCCAGAATATTGCCGTGCGCGACCTTCACGGGGCTCTTCGTTTAATGACAACTCTTTAACATCATATTCATGAAAATAGGATAGGAGTGTTTGCTTAGTTTTGACCTACCGTGCACATTTCTTGTTCTATATCTCAAATATGATTAGGAAAGAATATCATAGTTGACTCCTGTTAAGTGAGATGTGTTTGTTGGGGATCTCAGTTTAGAACAACCTCGATTATCCATCAAAGCTAGAATATACGCTGGATAATCGAGGGCGAGGCCCAATAGGCCCCATGGATCATCACGCCCTTGTAGGAGTCGACTGTTGATCGTGTGATTAGAAAATGCGACCTTTAATTTTCTGACTCTGTATGTGTAATGGTGTACCTATAGCCTTGAAAATTGTTCATGCTGTCGCCCACTGGTTTGGTTTGGTTACCGACAGGCAGCCTTGCTCAAACTGTACTATTGATTGATACGGAGTTAAACATTAAACTCACTGTAGGTATCTTTCTGGGTCATGCCCCACAAAGCGACTACACATAATTTATATACTACTGAAAAGAAGTTAAAGAACACCCGAATTTTGTCATATGACTATAGCTAATCTATAGTTATATAAAAAATCAGGTATTCTTTTCCTTCTTTTGAGGAGCATACTTTAGGCAGAAACAATGACACAATAAAGACTTTGAGATCATATATCAGTGATTTTGCAAGAAACAAATGCAGTATGATTTGATTTATTTTGGTTAGGTCATTGTTCTATATTTTATATTTACCATATTTGAAACATCTTTAGGTCATTTTGGATGACAATGTCCCAGAAAATGAACCGATGCTTGTCTGGGGCGACTAACGCGACCAGAGTCGTTGACTTGGTTGATGCATGTAACCGTATCCCAATGGTACAGATCGATGCTCATGATGTCAATCACTGGATTGTCTGGTCTAAACTCGATTATTTACACATCGACGTCATATGGCTGCGATATTGCTGAGTGTGGCGTTAAACAACAAACAAACAGACAGACAAACATTACAACCTGAGATGGCCTAAAAAATTAAGGAATTAGGGTTTTTTTTATCCGTCATCGAACTTTTGTACTGGTTCCTTTAACTCGAGCGCTTTGAGCCAAAAACAAATAATATGTTATCGTCGTGCCGCCAAGCAAGAGTTTCTCATGAATATGCATATCAGACGTAGTAAGATTTATGTCTGCTATTTGATTGGCTGATAGCCGATATTGACCATCGTGACACTTCGGGATAGCAGACGACATGCAATATCGGAAAACACACAGCAATGCCAAATATATCTGTCGATTGAATGTTATGAATGGCAAACTGGTTGCTCTTCGAAAGTGATTTCCTGCACAATGAGTTGCTGCTCCAGTGGCAGTGGTTTCAATCCATCAACCGATTGTTTGTAAGTACTTATGTCTTCCAATCTCCATGATTGTATTATAGGCGATAATTAAATGGCCGCCATTACAATTTACCACTGATTACTTACTTGCAAGGCTTTCGTTACCTCAACATAAGATTCATATATTGCTATGGACATTATTCACGCGGTGCGAATCTTAAAGTGAGTGCGTAAATATAGTAGCAATATTCCAGCTATATCACTGACGGGGACACCAGAAACTGGCTTCACACATTGTACCCATGTTGGGAATCAAACCCGGGCTTTCGGCGTGGCGAGCGAACGCCGAATATCGTGAAGTTTATACATATTGACGAACGCCTGCTCCTGGAATGAAGTGAATAGTTTGTCTTGTGAAAGAAAATACTTTTTCACTTTGTCAGTGCATTTACACTTGTATCTGATCCTTTTATAATAAAGTTTATATATTAGGTGGAGGCGACTATGCTTGTCGTAAAAGGCGACTAACGGGATCGGGTGGTCAGGCTCGCTGACTTGGTTGATGCATGTCATCGATCCCAATTGCGTGGATCGATGCCCATGATATTAATCACTGGATTGTCTGGTCCAGACTCGATTATTTACAGACCGCCGTCATATAGCTGGAATATTGCTGAGTGCGGCGTAAAACAACAAACCAACCAACCAACCAAAATATATTAGGTGGATTTTATTCCAAAGGCCGAAGGGTCAGTGGACGAAATATATATATGATGAGACTCGTACGTGGTATAAGTTGAAAGCGCTAGCCGATTAAAACTGTGTTCAATCTTACTCCACTGATTTAATCATTACTATATATATATATTACATAAATAAATATGTTATATAAGTGTTTCCAAAATATTGCAGATCGATTGCAAAAAGGACAAAACAGCTTTCGAAATTCGCTCTAGTCCTCCAGCCCGAGACTACAAAAGTGTATGCTGAAGACAAGTAACGAATACAATGATGGTAGTCCTCGTTGAGTAGGGGCATTTGAAGGCTACCTGTTCACAAAATAACTACTACCACTACCACTACCACTACCACAACTACTAAAACAACTATAAAATAAAACAATATACATGTATACAACACAAAAAGTGCATCAAGGCTGCCGAACAGCCTGACAGTGTTTATATATTCTGGTGTAAATGTAAGTCCCTATCAATATAATATACTTTTGAAATAAAGGACCGGTTAGGCCATTTTTGTCCCACTGTATGGGGAGGAGAATAATGGCATTCACATCGCTAATTCTCTTTCTCATTATCCTACAATTATGACACAAGGCCCAGCATTAGCCCCTATTAAAGTTTAATTCACAAGGGCTCGTGAAATAATGTTGTATGACACTACGTCCCTGAGTGTCCAGTGGGAATTTCTATAACTTTCCACTGAAGTGATCTATCGATCACGTCACTTCATAGTTACAAGAACATTTTCAAGAAGAATTTTAGGATTCCGCATTTTGTCATATACAGGGCTGCCGAATTATCGTAAAGAGGTGAGGTGAGGTGAAATTGGGTTTAACGTCGCGTCCAAGATTATTGCACTTATATAGCGACGTGCATGCACGTGTGTGTGTGTGTGTGTGTGTGTGTGTGGCTGCTTGTACTAGTCCGGACTGATGCCGATTTATAGTGCTAGCTCACTGAGATACCATGCCGCAGTTTAACATGAATACCCCACTCAGACACAGTATACTGACTCCGAGCCGACCAGTCCTTGTTTTAGCCCCTTAATGTCGAACGCCAGACAGGGTAACAACAAGTACCATCTTTTAACGTCTTTTGGTATGACGCGGCCGGGGATCGAACTTATCGTAAAGACAGGAAATAGGATATTTTCAGAAAAAGTTGAAAACAAATAGTATGCCTCAATTACGTATCATGCTGTAAGATTGTTGTATGTATTTCATTGGCGACCAAACTAAATTTTGTTGCTGGTAGTATGATTTATATCACAATTGATCGATGAGAATTTTCAAATTAATAAGGCGAGTTAATTTAAAGTCTGTAAAAGAATATCAACAAAATGGTTACCTGCGATTTTTTCTTTGATACCACGAGGCCTATGTAAAGCTGTAAGTTTACAAGAAGGAACCCCCCAGTTGTATAACTAAACATGCTAATATAGACAGATTCTCTATTTTATTTACAGTGTTAATGAGTCAATGGCCAAAATGAGTACTTTCAGGATTTATTTACCCTCAGCAATCATTTTCATGATGCAAACACATTTCCGACCCAAATATGTTTGAAACACCTGGTGCAGTGGACAATTCTCTTGCAGAACTTGCCTAGTTAAGTAATTTTTGCGAAATATTGAAAAAATAAGAAAAAACCCTTTCATGAATCACAACCACAACCCACTGATTTGTCCTCAAAGGGAATGTGATATGTTCCGGTAGTAGGTCACATGCAGCCCATCGATATGTACAGAGGCAGATCCAGGATGATAAAAAAGGTGGGGGTCCATTTGGGCCATTTTATTAATCATATTACTTTAACATCCAAACAACATGTTATCATGGTAGGAAATGCTCATACAGAATATCAGATGTACAAAAAGGGGTGATGGCCACCCCCACCCCCACCCCATCCCCATCCCCACCCCCATCCCTCGATCCGTCACTGGATGAAACATGCTTCACATCATTGACCTATCCAAGAAACGGAAACGACCATTGCATTTCTAAACAAAAAATTGATCCACTGACCATATATCTCAGAAACTCACCAGGATAATAATTTCTCGGGTTGCTTCTTAAGCTTGTATAAGTATTCAGATCTGTATTATGTAACGCTTGATTCTATATATTTCTCACGCTGACCCAAACTGTCCTTATCAAATGAGCATGCGATTCATATGCAAATTACTTAGCGCATGCTTTTGGCGAGCCAAAACGGTCTTCTTCATTGGTGAGTGACATGTCGTTTACCTGGCCACGCTCTGAAATCGACATCGATTGGCTATCGGGTGGGAAAGTAGTTTGTACTAATCCGGGTAACTTTGTACCCAGCGTTCCTGGTCAGATAACAGACCCTGTTACTCAACTCGTTACCTGCTATGTCGTCCAAGTCGGACAACGCGAATGACAGGGCTATTGATGAAAACAGCTCGACTTCAACTAACGAAGCGGGCGATGGTAAAGACATGCGAATACCGTCCATATTAGACAATAACTCATGCCACGAAAGCACTGACGATGCGACCAGTATTTGCAGTGAGGGACTATTTCTCGAAGAAGTTTATTACACCCCAAGCACAAGCACCCCACAAGCTTTGAGCCCCTCAGATCCATGGGTGAGTTGAAAAAATAAAATATATTCTGTAAACATACCTTTCACAGTTCCATAAGCTTCGTCCTTGAATGTATCCGGAAGTGCTCTCATGTACACCCCCCTGATACATGACACATGTTGCCCAATCGCGCCCTGAAAATATGTCCAGGTGTAACATGTCCTATTTTCTTGATCGCTACTGCCGACGGACTAATCAGAAATGTGATGCTTTTCTTTATGTATGGAGTCAGCTGGTTGCTGACGTGTATTTATGAATATCATTACAGAACGTATTCCTAATATGATTCATATTGAACAATACAGACTATGTAAAGAGGTGATATATTAAATATCACATACTACAGTTCCAAACATATAAGGATGTGGGTTGGATGTCAAATATGTTAATGTATATATACATTTGAATTTGTCAAATCATTAATTACTAAAACGTAAACAAATAGCCGAAACATAAACATTGAGATCACGACGCGTTTATTATGATCAATGGGGGGACGATGGGAGCTCTTCCAATCGATATGTTAGTTTTGTTCACTACCGAACGCTGTTTAATATAAAATGGTTCCCCGCAACCTGTACTGGTCGTATAAAGTTTTCAGGAAGCGACCAAATGACAGACTGTGTGACTGGTTGATTGCGTGTATTCTCTTCCGGAAGGCGTGGATTGTTGATGACAATATCAGTCATTGGATTGTCTGGTCCAGCGCTGTTATTTAATTGCTTGCATTGTAAAATCCCCGATGCGTTGATTTCGTGGAAAATGTGCAGGTCTGTTCACCTAAAACTAAGATTGCTCGGAAAGCACTAGATCGGAACCGGTTAGTTCCTAGTGTGGTCTACCTAGGGAGCACGGGTGTCTCAGTCATCTAAGGCGTCGCTATTCGCTTTTCGGTGTTGCGTCTCTTGGGCTCGCCAGAAACCCATGATCTTGGTTCGAATCCCAGTTTGTCCCGATTATGTTTCTCGGTTTCACCGAAGTGGTAAACGTCTGAGATCTGCTTCACTCCACATTAAGCAGACACGCCGTGATATAACATGAATAATGTTTAAACCGGCGTTAAACCCGACTCACTCATAGTGTGGTCTCCTTTGGGCACGCCAGAAACCTATGATTGTGGGTTCGAATCCCGGTTCGCCCCGATTATGTTCCTAGGTTTGTCAGCACCATACCCGTGCTCGTGGGTTTCACCGAACTGGTAAACGTCTAAGACCTGCATCACTTCGGGCTTTCCTCCCACATTAAGCTGACACGCCGCGATATAACTGGAATACTGTTAAAAGCGGCGTTAAACCCAACTCACTCACTCACTCACCTAGTGTGGTCTGTCACATACATTCCGCAACCCTGTCGCCTTCATCTGTACTATGTTTTTAGAACAGCCATTATTTCGAGCGGACAAGGTTATTATTTTCCATATGTTTTTAAAAAAAAATCCCAAACGAACCCGAAGATGCTCTCCACAATATCAAATGATCGGTCCCTTGAGATAAATTAGACGGCAACATTCTTACTGAAATCAGTAGGCAGTAGCGAAACCATTCCGCGAGAGATTTTGTGACCTATACATACTTAATTCACAGATGGGTAGGGGCGTTTTGGTAACCTGGTGGTTAAAACGTTCACTCGTCACGCGGGGAGACCAGGGTTCGATTCCCACGTAGGTACAAGGGTGAAGCTCATTTCTGGTGTCCTGTGTCGTGATATAGCTG